TGTCTCCTGCCCAGCAAAGCTTACCAGATGGTGACAACCAGCAGTAAGGGCAACCCATAACATGGATGGACAGTACTGTGTAGTAACCAATTACAAGAAATTTATATATGAAGGCCTTATTTGTAATGTCACTATTTCAAATGTCTGTTTAATCCTCATGTACTTTGAACTCTGGAATATATTGTAACAGTGCCTATTCCAGTTTTTTAAAATGGATTTAAAACAACACCCCTCAATCAAAGTCCTGGGTCTAACATTCCCAGGCCCATAATATGGGACTAAGAATAATTGGAAAAAGGAAATTGTCCACAGGTCGTATTAGGGAATGTGCAGACCACTGGACATGTGGGGCATGAATGTATGGATGGGTAAAGCAAAATGACCAAGAAACCGTGTTTAGGCCACTGGGTCATTTTCAGTCCATACATTATGCTTTTCCGGGATAATGGGTAAACATCCTCCCCATAAAAAGACAAAAAGCAGGGGAATGGAGTAGATAGAATCTGGAGCACTATGCCTGGTGCAAGATTTGAGGCCTGAACCGGAGGCTGCGAACCAAAGTCAGGCCATGTAGCAAAGTAGATGCTTACAAGTTCATTGTCCAGTACATGAACTTGGCAAAGTTGTTGCTAGTTTATTAGATATTTACATAAATATATTTTAGCTAGTACAGATACATTCCAATCTAATACAAGATAAGATGGTTTGACAAAATAATGAATAGGGATGTTTTGTCCAAGATATCAGGAACAAGGGGAGGTAACAAACAGATGTCATGAAATACATAAGGGGGTGTTTAAGTTGTGTTTGCCTGTTGTTTGCTTCAGCCTATAAGTGTCACGGTACTTCGCCTTAACCCTTTGTCCAGCTGAGGAGAGCTGCGGAAAGTCCCGCCACTGACTGAGGTGAGTCCATTGCAATGAGCATACATATGTTAATGCAACTGTAGACATTGATCCAGGGAGCTAGTACCGTGCTTCATTGACAATAAACCTGGCCGAGTGCCTTCACCACTGAACCGTGTTTGTGGTCTTCCTTTATTAGTAAACTCGAGGTCTGCTGGACTAACCTGCTGCACTGTCTACTAATAATAATGAAGCTTCAAGGACAGAAGTAATGAGCAGCCACCTTAACTGTGTGTTATTGCAGTTTGGGTGCTCTTTAGCTTGTTGTTAAGGATTTGTGTTTTATAACATCAATAAGGGAGTTGTTAGCTTGTTATTGTATTAGGAATTTGTGTTTGCACCAATAAAGGGTGCTTTGTTTTGGAAAAGATACTTGTCAATCATTCATCAGAGGGCTGTATCTGTGTCCTCTAGTATTTTCTTGGGCACACTGGAGACCCATACCTGATGAGAAAAGATTGGGTTTGAGGGAGCCTTTGGTAAGCCTGGCAGAGGACACTAGGTGAGCTACTCGAGGGGGTTATCTAAATTCTGTTTTCTGGGGTAACAGTGGGGGGCAATTTATCTCACTTAGATGCTTGGCTGATCATGCCCACTTGGAGTGGAAAGATGCTGCAAAGCTCCCTGGACTGAATAGGGAATATTGGATTTTTTTTCAGGAGCACAGAGTAGAGAGGGTCATTAACATAGAAATTGGAATTAATTCTCAATTTGAATTCAGGGCTGAAACCTGGTGTTAAAAGGCTGGAGAATCTATCACAAAATGTTCCTAATGGTTAATTACCCTCACTGTTAAAAATGTACACCACCTTTCCAGTATGAATCTGTCTAACTTCAGCTTCCACCCATGGGATCTTGTTATACCTTTAGCTGCTACATTGGAGAGCCCATTATCAAATACTTGTTCCCATGTAGTAAGTGCTTAATACGTCTGCCTTTTCTGCATTATTATTGACATTATGTTTGAACATGATGATAGTGTGGCAGACTGATCCTATGGCGGCTCAAGAGAAAGGCCAAGAGGGAGTTGTGCACAGATTGGGATAAAGAGACTGATTTTTTTTAGCAGAACAGAGTGAGTGAGGTGGATCAGGTAGGGGCTTGGAGGGGCCAGCAAGACACTAATGTGGTTTGGTGAGGAGTTTGGTAATAAAGGGTTTTCTGGAAGGAGACCAGGGAGCAGAACAAAGAGATTCTGTGTGCATTAGACAGTAGGGGAGAGATTGGCCATAAGGGCCCATCTCTCACATACATACGTACATGTCAGGCATGTTTTTTTTTTTTTACAGTATTGCTTCTGGAATGGGCCTCACAGCCTCTCGTCATGTATCTGATGGTCCTCATGGAGCTGAAGGAATTTAGCAGCAACACAACCCTACAAGGGAAATAATTTATAGAACTCAGGCAGGTAAAATGGTATGAACTGAAATAGGGTATGTGTAGTGAAAATCCTGGCCAGATACAACAAAGGGAGTTACTCCCATCAGTACGGCCTCCCTTTCTGATTTGGAATTAGAAAAATAACAACCTTATTCTTAGAGAGACTGAATTAATTTAGCTTAATCTAAATAAATGGTCCCTGAAAGCTGGAGGAGACAGCTAGTTCTAGTGCTGTCTGCTGCTAGAGAAGCTCCACCCCACAAAGCTCTCCAGCATTGTATCGCACAATAAATATTACAATATTGAAATAAACTTTACTGGTGAAACATGCCCTGAGAGTGGGACGCTGTGCCTCGCAATTACTGGTTTTATAAAAATCCTTTCACTGGTATTTCATACGCTGCGGACATATTATCTAGTGAGGTCCCTAGCAGACTTCATTTATACATCACTCTCTTATGAGGCTCTCAGCATGATTTATCCCCCTCACTAGATGGGTCATGGCTGCTGCTTATAGAATCAGAGAAGTTAGAGATGGAAAAGTCTTACAAGAGTTCATCTACTCCATCCCTAGAGTGCTCCACTTATTCCGTGGCTGAGAAGTTGGCTGCAAAATGCACCCATCATTATGGAATTATGCAGAAGAATATTAGTTTAAAAGGTAAATCCCTAGCCCCTATAAGTGTGAAAAAATCACCCCCATGTGACCCAAATGTAAATGCAGTACAGTCTGCTTGAGTCTGCAGTCAGCCTGAAAGAATAGCTCTGAAAAGTGTAAGTGCCTCTTTTCATCTCAATAAATTGTTAACTCTGGATCCTGCTGGTTCCTGCTGATCACTTTAGCAGAGACATCCAGCTGATGATGTGTTTATTATACACTCCCATACAACTGGATGCTGTGAAGCACAACAATACCCTAGCCAGACTTCAAACCTCTTGCCCTGTAGAAGGAGTTTAGAGAATGGAGACAAATTATTGGAGGCCTATAGAGACTTCTATATGAAGAAAGACTGAAGAGACTGGGATTATTTAATTTGGAGAGGAGTGTGATATTAAAAAACACCTAAATGGATTATGTACCCCATTGACTTCTGTTGAGTTTCAATGGGAATTAGGTGCCTAATTCACTTATGCACTGTTGAAAGTCCCACCTGAGATGACATTACAGAGGTATGCAAAATATGAACGGTGTGGGGAATTTAAACTCGGCACTATTTACTCTAATGGGATATTCAGTGACACTTAAAGGAATACATTCAAAACTGTTAAAAAGAAAGTACTTTTGCAAAGCACAGAGCCCTGGGTACAGTGACAGATTTGGACTTTACAGTGAACTTTGTGTCTTGTTATGTATCTCCTTCAGAGGGTGAATATCATTTATGGGAGCTCTTTTATACCGAGATGCAGAGTGGCCATCCTGGAAATGTTTATCTCCCTGCTGAGGAAGGTCCATTATGCAATGGAATTGAGCTTGTCAGAGATTCACATGGCCAGAAAGGAATTCAGCAACATGAAGGGATCCATTTCTGTGAGTCTCCTGAGGTAATTACTAATGCCATAGCACCTTTGCCATCACCTGGCATTGCTCCTTACCCCTATTGTAGCCCAGCTCCTGCATCACCTCTGCAATGTCCACATAGATATCTTCATTCCTGTGGTTACTCTACATCCAGCATTGCACTGTCCCTTCTCTCCAGAGGCAGTTGAGATCCAGGATTTCCTTCCTGGTCCATGCAGCAACATGTGGTTTAGCTGGGGATCTATCTTTGTGCAGATCCATACCGATCTGCTCACAGAGGTGGTCTAGGAGGTGTGCTCGCACAGGAAGGCTACCAGGAAAAGAAGCATTTCCAAAATATGCTGGGGATTTTAAAGAGGGCGTGGGGTGGGCTTCTGGTCATAGTGCCCCCTGGGCAGTGAAGTTCAAAACTGTGACTAGAACGGTCACTGTTGAGGGAAGTGGGGCATAGTGAGACTGTTGCTGATGGACTGTTTTTTACCAAAATAGGTAACAGTGTCCACGCTGGTATTTTGCCAGCAGAAGTATGTTGGCTATGGACTTGTGTAATTTGGGGTTTCACCAACAGAATCAATTTTAGGTGAGGATGTAAGCAAACCTGTAGTGACAAAAGGAAACTTCAGCTAACAAAACTTTGTCGTGCAGACCAGGCATAAGAGATCAAGTGGATGGAGAATATATTTCTGTTTTGCTGAACACATAGAGGTGTCCTTATCACTGTATTTCATCCATGTGCTTTAGTTCAACTAGGCTCATTTATGTGTAATTTTTATCTTGAGCCCAATTTTGTACATAGTAATAGAATACTTCCAAGTGTCTGTGGTCTAGTGAGTCATGCCTGGAGTTAGAGATCAGGAAGTCCTGAATTCTAATCACAGCTCTGATGCTGGCTTATCAGTTCACCTCTCCCTGTTTTGGTTTCTTTTCCCATTTTAAAAAGTGGTGAAGTTTTAAATATATCGTAGAATAAGAGGAACCCATATGGCCTCCAAAAGCTACTTCCTCAAGTTTGAGAGAGAGAAAATGATGGAGACTGAATGATTCTTGACACCTTGCAGTTATTCATGTTAATTGGATTTTGATCAATGGTTAACAGTTTGATGTCCTCGGATACCATTTCTCTCTCATTGTGGAAACTATGCCTGTTTCAGCTTGTCTTGCAGACAGCAGTGGAAATTCACCCTCTTCCAGAGCATCAACTTTCTGCAGTGAATTCAGCTGAGGCAAATGCTCCACAGCATCACCTGGAACTATGATTTGCAGTGTATCTGGAAGTGCCTTGTAAGTGATTCTTGTCCTCTTACTATTGAACAGTGATTTGAGGGTTGGTAGCATGAAGTGTACTATAGCTCAAATGCACTTTCAGGCTTTAGGGTGAAGGTAATATAGTGTAATCCCCTTTCTCCTTCAAAGGACCTTTCTAATTCCATATACCAAGAGCCACAGGGATTGTTCCATATGGCCTTATCAAGAACACTCACAACGTAAGAACTGAGCTGGCTAAACTTCTAGATGGACTATTATGAGGCAGTATGGAGTGCACAATGTATTCAAACGAGGAAATAGCTTTACTGTTGCCATCTTTCAGTTACTTTTCAAGTCATCTTAATACCCACCTTTGAAGAACGGTTGGTTTGCTGTTGCCTGGCAGATGATATATGCACTATGCATGTGTAACAGGATGGTCTGCCCCTTTAAGGGCCTGGGGCCACCAGCCAGCCCTGTTTGAGTATCAGACCCAGCTAGTAAGGGGTCCAGTGATCAGGGGCGGCTCTATGTATTTTGCCGCCCCAAGCATGGCAGTCAGGCAGCTTTCGGCGGCATGCCTGCGGGAGGTCTGCTGGTAACGTGGATTCGGTGGCATGCCTGCGGGAAGTCCGCTGGTCCTGCGCCTTCGGCATACCCGCTGCCGAATTCGTGGGACCGGTGGACCTCCCGCGGGCACGCCGCCGAAGGCCCCCTGACTGCCACCCTCACAGCAACCGGCAGGCTGCCCCCTGCGGCTTGCCACCCCAGGCACGCGCTTGGTGTGCTGGTGCCTGGAGCCGCCCCTGCCAGTGATCCCTATAAAGGGCTGAGAGAGTTCACCTGGAGGGAGATGGGTTTCTGCAGTAGGTCCTGAAGCAGGAACTAGACGAGAAGAGTATGTTCTCCTTTCAGCCCTGAAAGCGGCAAGGGGAAACGAATGATGTTTTGCCTATGTTTTATGTTTCAAGACTAAAACTGCCCTGAGGGAAGATCCTGAAAGAGATCTGGGCATAGGGCTGAGTTTTTCCTGTGCCTCCAGTGTCCCTACGACTTATATTCAGGAGGGATAAATCCCCATATTCAGGAGAGGGGATGTGGCTTGAGCTGTAACTCTGGAATGTGTGCTGCACAAAGGGTGTCACTTTTGGAAATGAAGATTTCAGTTGTTGTGTGTTTTGTAGATGTTTCATATCCTAACACCAATAAACCTAGTCCTACCTGCCGTCCTAACAATTACATCACTCTCTGGCAGCAATGACTGAGGCCGTCTCCTTCTTTTTCTTCTTCTCACTACAAAGTAGAGTTAGATCGCTGTGTTCTAAAGCACTTAGGATTTGACATCTGTTCCTGTTTTATTCTTTTAAATGAATTAAGCACTGGTGAAAAATGCCTGTTTGAAAGCCCCAGAGACTCCAGTCTCTCTCTTTATCCTCAGAAGAGGAACAGTATAAGCATCAGTTGTGCAAGCTCCCTCTAGCAATGTGCCTCTTCCTTGGTGTGGAGGGACTGCTTCTAGGGGTGAGTAGGGAGTTCAGTCTCTGGCTGTTTTGCTCTTTAGCTTCTCTACTGAGAACAAGGAAATCAGTTGTTACTAGGGTGACCAGACAGCAAATGTGAAAAATTGGGACAGGGTGTGGGGGGTAATAGGAGCCTATATAAGAAAAAGACCCAAAAATCGGGATTGTCCCTATAAAATCAGGACATCTGGTCACCCTAGTTGTTGCCAGTTGTGATTGTTGTTTCTATGATGCGGACACCTGTTGCTTAGGAACTGGACGGCTACCCCTAACTCATTTCAAACAGGCAAATAACTTTCAGGGTCACATTCTTTCCTGTGCTCAAGGCTGGAGGAGGTGTCAGGGGCCAATGATGGCTCCCTCATCTCAAGCAGTCCTGGTGTACATTAGAGCAGCCTAAGAGGGAAGTTCTAACTTAGGCCAGCAGGTTATGGAACATCAAAAGTGGCCAGACTGGTAGAAGAGAATATGTCCCTCAGTTGCTACTGACTTGAGATGGAATTGAACTGGTGAACTGCTTTGTATCCCCAGTGGCTCTGTTTCCTGCCAGCCTTTCAGGACCCCGGCATATCTTATACTTGTTTAGTATTCTTAGGCACCATTTGTATTTAATAAATTGCTAATCATCTCCACCAGCCCAGCAACTCATAAATCTTCTTTCTTTCAAGACTCTTTTTGGGAGTTTATTCTATCTTTTTCAGACTCTAAATTCTTTGGTCAAGATTCTTTTCCCCGTTTATACTTGTGTAAATGAAGAGTAATTCCAGTAAGTAAATTAAGCCACACCAGATTTAGACTGGTGTGACTGAGAGCATAGTTTGGCCTTTCCTATATATCTGAATATGAACAGATGGGAAAAACATCCCAAAACATTTGTTATACACAAAAGCTGTTTTTATTAAATCGGAGAGAAAATACAGAGAAATGCTATAAAGAATCTGGTATTGGAAAACAGGAAACAATAGCTCAGATGTTGCTAGCACCTGGATCTAGTCACTACCACTATCTTCATTTCAACTACTAGTGGATCTGAATCTGTTTTGTTATAATACGGTCTTTGAAAACACAGCAAAGTTTATTACAGTAATAACTTTCCTAAAAGCTGCCAAGCCCTGGGCCTGAATAAATCTAGGTCAAAATGAAACAAGAGATTCATTACCCAAAGAAAAGTGAAATGGGGGAAGAGATTTGAAGGTCACTGCCAAGCTCCTGCAGTGCTTCATGCCGGGAAAGTAAATTCTTGGAAAATACCAGACAGAGAGAAAACTTGGAAAAGGGCCCTGTTCTCTGGAACTGGATTTGCACTTTCCATCTGTGTTTAACAATGATCAGAAAACACAGGCTCTTGTTGTATTGCTATCAAAGGGCCTTATTCAGAGCCCAGTAACAGCTTGTATCATTTTGTTTCCTATTATTTCAATGGCTTTTCGCATCTGGAACATACCTCTGGGCTTCAGTAACCAAAATGAGTGCAAAAGTTTTAATGTGCTCCTGTGAAAGTGTACTGTAGGAGGTGCTGTAATGCCTGCAAACTTAAATTTTTCCATTAAATATGAAACTAAGTGGGACCTTAGCATAGACGGGAAAAATTGAGCAGCTAACACCAGACCATAACACCTCGCAGGAACTGGAGAAAGACCCGAGGGCTGTAGACCAGGTAACACTGTTCTGCCTGGGGCCCGGAATTGCTATCAGCGGGCCTGCCAAGAGCTTTAAGTTAAAACAACCGCTAGCTGCCCCAAAGGGGCCATTTTGGCAGCCAGGGACCAGCAATACTTTGCTATACCCCCTTCCACCAGCTATGTCCCTGTGCTGGATGCTTAGAAGCGCGTGGCATAGGGCTGTCTGTAATGGCTGTGCGCCACCCTGGGAATCCTCAGCTGCCTGGCAAGTGCAGCTGTACAGCCCCTTTAGCTGCAGCAGTGGTGCATATCAGGGGACCAAAACTAGCCCAGTTAATCAGCCTGGAAAGTCCAAATACAAATACCTCTTTTCAAAAAGAAGAAAAAGGGATTGCAGAGCCCTAGGGAGCATAACTAGGTGTAGTGAGTTCAAATGAAGCAAACCAATCTTAGGTGGAATATCCGGTAGATCTTTCTCTGATGAGGTCTGAATCTGCCTCTTTGCTTGTGTAATTTAAAACTAGACCGGAGCCTTAGGGTACGTCTACACTGTAATAAAACACCTGCAACTGGCCTGTGTCAGCTGACTCGGGCTTGCAGGGCTCAGGCTGCAGGGCTATAAAATTGCAGTCTAGACATTCGGGCTCGGCTGGAGCTCATGTTCTGGGACCCCATGAGGAATCTACACTGTAATTTTATAGCCTCCCAACCTGAGATCCATGAGCCCAAGTCAGCTATCACAGGCCATCTGTGGGTGTTTTATTGCAGTGTAGACATAGGAAATAGCCTAAGGCTGGGGTGAGAAAGGTGACGTGAAAAGTCCTTTTTGTCTCTAATTCCTTTGAATAATACGAGAGAGAAAATCTGGAAACTGACTTTGAGGAGTAATTAAAAAACCATCTGTCAGGGTTCCCTCCCCACTCTGAACTCTGGGGTACAGATGTGGGGACCCGCATGAAAGACCCCCTAAGCTTATTTCTAGCAGCTTAGGTTAAAACTTCCCCAAGGCACAAATCCTTTCCTTGTCCTTGGACAGTATTGCTGCCACCACCAAGTGATTTAGACAAATATTCAGGAAAAGGACCACTTGGAGTTCCTATTTCCCCAAAATATCCCCCCAAGCCCCTTCACTCCCTTTCCTAGGGAGGCTTGAGAATAATATACCAACCAATTGCCTTTAATAACAGTACAGACCAGACCCTTTATTTTTAGGACACTAAAATCAATCAGGTTCTTAAAAGAAGAACTTTATTATACAGAAAAAAGTAAAAGAAGTACCTCTGTAAAATCAGATGGAAGATAATTTTACAGGGTGATAAAAAGATTTAAAACACAGCGGATTCCCATCTAGGCTCAACTTTAAAGTTACAAAAACAGGAATAAACCTCTATCTTAGCATAGAGAAATTCACAAGCTAAAACAAAAGATAATCTAATGCATTTACTTACAATTTCTGTAATTTTAGATGTAACATTTCAAGGTATCTTTTCAAGAGATGGGTTACCTGCTTGGTGTGTCTCTCTCTCTCTCTCTCTCTCTTTCTATCCAGAAGGAACATAGAGAGCACAAACAACCCCTGCCCCCCTGCCATTTGAAAGTATCTTCTTTTCCCATTGGTCCTTCTGGTCAGGTGCCAACTAGGTTAATTGAACTGATTAACCCCTTACAGGTAAAATGATTCTGTACCTCTGTCTGTACCTCTTGCCAGGCGGGATTTTATGTTATTGCATACATAAAGGTTGTTACCCTTCCCTTTATATTTATATCTCAAACACTCTGTCTTAAATAGTGAATTTTCTTTTAACAGTCTCAGCAGTTACATACCTAAAATCTTCCTAATATGATCATGGACCAAAACAAGTTAAAAATTTGCAGGTGCAAAAGTTTATTCCCTCTGCAGCTAGAAATGAATGGAAAGCCCTTTAAATGAAAGGAGGGTGACAGCTCTTTTTTTAATTTAACTTGAGTAAGGAACAGTCAGGAAAGGAACAAATTTTCCCTGCATTTCTGTTGCTCAACATTCTAATTTTATATTGGGCCCAGGAAGTTTGAGCATTACATATTTTCAAAATACCACTGTTCTTTGAGGCTGTAAGAAGCACAGCGGGTGGCAGAGAGAAGAATAATGTGGCCAGGAGAACATCTGGCTTGGCAGTTGTTGACATGTTTGAGTATTATTCCTTAGAGGATGAAAAGCGATTGCTGATAGGACAGACTTGGAGGGGATTGGGGGGGGTTCAACATTTTTTCTGTTCGATTGGTTGGTGTTGTTTTCTAGCATCCATGAGCCTAAGCTTGGAGCCCAGCCACTGAACATCCTGTTTTCACTGAACTTGTCTCTTTCTCTAGGCTTCTTCTCCTCTCCTCTGGTCACAAAGCTACTGCAATAACTCCAAGGTAAGGATCTGAAATGTAGCTTTTTAGTTGATTTCTCACTTGGGATTTGTACTGTTGAGCGAGAGGCATCGAGCATCCTAAGCAGATGAATAAGAATGTAGCAAAGGCATTTAAAAATCAGCTTTTTACACAGCTACTTGCTTGTAAAAGGAAGGAGAATGCTCTCGCAAAGTTCCAGTAACAGGTTTTCTGAACTCTGAGAAGGTTAGTCCAACTTGCTGTGTCACTCATATCCTTGCTTCAGTATTTGAGTTTATGTGCTGCAAGCACGAAGCAGAGTGTGTATCTATGTACTGTGTGGGCCCAATCCTGCTCCCATTGAAATCAATGGGAGTTTTGCCATTGACTTCATTGGAAGCTGGATCAGGCCCTTGGTGTGCACACATGTGTTGAGGGCAGTCACTGAGGCAGCCAAACAGGAATTAATTTATGCTTCTAGTGAATTTGTGAGCCAGCCCCAGCCTTCTCTTACCAAGCCTTCTGGTGAAAGGGAACTATATGGGGAGCCTAGTAACATACTGTGATAGTGTCCAAGCCCTTCACTTCTGGACTGTGGGTTCAAATCTTGATTACTAGCAGGTCACAAGTGGAAAGGAGCTGAGCTCCCATTCCTTGGTACCACACAAGGGAGCTGGTGCTTCTTTGCCCAAGTGCTTTCCACAAAGACAGAAGAAGGTGATAACTGGACGGTATAAAGTACAGACAGGAATGAATGGGTGGGGTGCACGAATGTGAGTAGGAAGGAAAGAGAGGGCAGGTCTAGAACAGCTCACAGTGATACAGGTCAGAACTGAGAGGTCTAATAATATAATAATAATATAATATATGGAGATATACCTATCTCATAGAGCTGGAAGGGACCCTGAAAGGTCATCGAGTCCAGCCCCCTGCCTTCACTAGCAGGACCAATTTTGCCCCAGATGGCCCCCTTAAGGACTGAACTCACAACCCTGGGTTTGTTTAGCAGGCCAATGCTCAAACCACTGAGCTATCCCTCCCCCTATCCCAGGACTGCCCTAGAAGGGGATGCAGTATGTCAGAAATGACAGAGGTGTCGGTGTGCGTGATATCCATGGGTCCTTTCCGAAATGTCCCAGTTCTCTGTCATTGCCACATGTTGTATAGTGCAGAAGACTGAGGTTGACTCATGAAATTTCTCTTGTAATGACATTAATACAGAACTGAGAAACAGCTTCCACACATTTGGGCTCAACATACTTTAAGCTTTGGAGAATGGAGCTGATACTGAGTTATCAGTAACTGTACATGAATCATGCTGCTCAGTGACACAGTCCTGGGCAGCAGGGTCTGGGATTGCTATGGAGGCATCACATTCAGCCCCTGGAGAAGGGAGTGCCTCATGTTGCTCATGAACCTCTCCCAGCTGACCCAGGGGTCGTGTTGATAGACTCCAGGAGGAAGCAGCAACCTACAGCTGGGCAGATAGTTACACCCAACATGAGTCCAGAGGGGACGAATAAAGAGGCAAAGTGGAACCTCGGAGAACATTTACCTCCCCCTCCCAGAAAACATGGTCCAGTTGACAGCCATGCAGTCATATCATCTCACTTGTGACTCTCCAAATCATCAAGGTAATGTGGAGAGAGGAGAAAATCTCCCACACCCAGAAGGATAGGTGAAGTCTAAAAGACCACCTAAAGCTCTGTGATGAAGACTGTGGTCAAAAGCTCGGCTCCTCTGGCACATAGGAAGTTAATACATGGGTATTTCCCGTCATTATGTTAGGCAGAGTTTTCTGAATTCCCTCAGGAACTAAGGACCATCACAAACTGCACCGCCTTGTGCTCCAAATGCAAGGTATTTTTCTTTGACCTTGCCTTCCCTAACATAAATACATGGCAACATGTATATTAAAAATATTATATTATGTTAAAAAAACACTACCAAAAACAAGACACTCCACAATATACTCTTCTCCCCTAGGGAGAAGTTGAGAGAACAAACAACATGTGACAGACAGTCATGTTTCTTAATGCACTATTGGAAGGCATTCAGATGAGTGATGCGCGCAGTAGAAGAGCCTATATTGAATAGAATAGGTCAGTGGTGAGAGGAGTCAGGCACTTTCTCTAGGAAATTCCAGTGCTCAGGGAAGTTACAAAATGAGCTTTAATAGAGTGGTGTGACATGCCATGGAAAACTGCCCTGCTTCAGATTTGCAGCCTTGAGGGTTTTAATTTGCATTCTTATCCTTTCTCCCTCTTGTAGGCTTGCTAGAGATTAACAGAAGCCAATCAGAACGTGAACCCACCACTTGACACCTGAAGGATGGATGGCTCAAAAGAGAAGATCATCCTGAATGTTGGAGGAATCAGACATGAGACGTACTGCAGCACCCTCCGGACCTTCCCAGGGACCAAGCTCTGCAGCCTCACAGAGCCCAATGCCAGCACACTATATGATTATAACCCTACCACCAAAGAATTCTTCTTTGACAGGAGTGCTCAGCTCTTTGGCTATGTGTTGAGCTATTACAGGACCAAACACCTCCATTGTCCTGTAGACACCTGCAGATCAGTCTTAGAGGAAGAGCTGGCTTTCTGGGAGATAAGTGATGCACAGCTGGCACCCTGCTGTTGGCTGAAGCTGACCAACAAAGACAGCCAGCCGGAGGAATTTAATGTTTGGGATGAGAACGAACATGCTGATGACCAGTGCCTCATAGTCCAGGTGGAAAGAAGGGATTTCAGCTGGAGGGCCAGGTGGCAGCCAAAGATCTGGTCTATCTTTGAAAAGCCCTTTTCCTCTTTAAGTGCCAAGGTAATGCTCCCAGTGGGGAACCAGATAGATTCGTCAGCGTGAGCCTGAATCTGTAGGGGTGGAAAAAGCTTAGGAACTTGCAGCTCTAGTGCACGGGTTCAGAGTCCTGCTTACAGCTACAGTACTTGAATAATTAAATAAAACATCCCAGAATAACAACTTGATTCACCAATATTTTTAGTGTGCAGTTCAGCTTGCTCTGATTCAGGTAGGTGATGCTGCTATTAGTTACACAGAAGTATTTGCCTTGGTATTCCAGGGCAATTTGTGAATCCTAGAGGTTTCATGAGTTTTAGCACTAATGATTATTCCTCTGAAAATTCATACTAGAAATGAGCTATTTACTATGAGTTATTTTTATATTATAAGATTTTACTAATCTCACTTGGGAGCTGAAACCAGACCATGTGATTTAGGTGACCCCCTTTCTCATTCACCATGACTAATAAACAATTGAAGTGATCA